GAAAAGATTACATACCTTATTCTTGTTATCGTAAACAAGTAGAAAAACATCTTCTTGATCTTTTGGAAGCACGCACCACAAATGTTGTGTCTCTGATGGTTCACAACCAAGCTAGCAAGAAGGATATTTAGGAGAGAGGAGGGAGGAGTGAAATTTCGGCCCTTGCTTTAATAATAGAGTGGCCGAAATTTCCATGGTGTAGGACTCCTTATATAATGCTAATAGGAAACCCTAGATAAGTCCCAAACCAGTAAAATAACATTATCTTATTTATGGTAATTATCTAGCTTCCTAATTATCATTCAAGGATAGTTCTAGAGCCCCATTTATCTCCTCAAAACCGTCCACCCTCCTTGGTGGAAGGTTCTGGAGCCTTTTGCTCAACTATTTAATAATTGCACTTCAGTCCCTACACTTTTAATTAATTCCATTAATTCCAATTAATTTCTGATTAATTATTAATTAAATAATATGATTTCTAAATAATATATTATTTTCATAACACATTAATAAATCATTTATTTCAATTTATTACTCAAATAATAAATCAACCTCTCTCTCTCTCTCTCCAAAAATCATCCTGTCCAATTGCTAGGTTTGAGGGCAACCCAAAAGAACAGTGCTACTATCAATTCAAGTATATACCAATTATAATTATGGGCTTAGACACCCAATCCAACAACTTGATGTTTGTAAAGCTTGTTTCGGCCAAGATCCTGCCCTACTAGCACTCTCTGGACCTTATGAAGGTGTAAAGTTCCCACCTTTATTGCTTATTGGTTCTCATTACATGCTTAGAGGTCTCTTTTGATCCTTTAAAAGAATGTTCTTGGAATTATGAGCAAATCCAGAACCTTAAGATTGGATTGTGTTCATTTCTGGACTTGTTTTGATGGAAAAAGGTGTGTGCGTTGGTTCCCTTGGAGCCATGCACAAGTTATTGTCCTTATGAGCATCCAAAGGAGTTAGGGTTTGAGTTATGGTCTCATTTTTGGTTGGGAAATGGATAAAGTCAGGAACTTTATCCATTAAGCCCCTTTGAAGAGCCGTATATGAAGATTTGAGCTATGGACGTTAATGGCTAAGAGCTTGATAGATTAAGCTGTTAAAACGTAAACTGGGAGCGGTGGGTTGTGGGTCGCGATGCGGGTCGCAAGATCTAGTCGTGATTGTTTTGGCTTTTAGTGAACGTTGTGCGACCAAGGAGTTGGTCGCGACACAAAGGTTGTTGATCGTTGACTTTTTGACCAGTTTGACTTTTTTTTGATGGTGTATACCTTTAAGATCTACACTTGAGAACCATCCTTCATAGAACCATCTATGTGTAAGGGGATATTCCATCATAAAGTACGACTGTGAAAATAATATGATTCTCATCATATAGTGCTAAATGTTAGTTATACATATCCACGTTTAAGTATTTACCTCCGCCATTACAACGTTACTAATGTTGTATCATGTCACAAAAAACCTCAATGAGCATCGTTAACATTACATTTTGTTCATCTTCCTATAACGTGTATAAGGTATCCATAATACTAGAGGTCATTAATTATAATGCACACTAGAAGCATACCCTTATCTATTTTTCTTGACCAATATTAAATTACACGTTGAAGCCTAGAAAAGCTCTCATCAAAATCACACGTTCTATCAGTGTATATGTTAGCCATACCAAACTTTCCACTGTTTGATTTTTTTGGTCCTAACTCGTAAATTCATCATGATTTATCGACAACAAAGCCCATAATATGCTTTTGGGAAATCATATCTAATGGCCATGTAAGTGGAATCAGCCATATCATATATGCCGACTAATTTCCCAACTTCCCTAAGGCATTCCTTTAGCCTCATTGTAAACCAAGACCACGATTCTCTACTCTCTATTTTGCATACTCTGTACGTTAGGGAAAGTTTAGTGGTTTCCGTCCATGAAAACTGCTAAGAACATGGTTCCTAAGTAGCTCTCTTTAAGGGGAAACACCTAATCTACAAATATTTTGACCATCAATCACAACGATTAATGAAATTGGAACTGCAAACTGTGTTGTATTATAAATGAATCTTACCATGCAACCGGATCTGACAAATAAGAACTCAATCCGATTGGAGTCATACTTCTTGATATGTGGAATTCATCATTTTAGATTGTGACAGTAGATAGGAAAACTGAAAAGGTTTTCTTTATGGATGAACTCATCGCTAATGAACCATAATTTTGCTTGTGAAAAACCATATCACTAATATATCGGCGACGGTTGAGATAAGTTTGTCAAAACTTTAAAATCATATACGATGGAAAAAATTCAATTACTCCGAAATAAATGTCAATCTAACATGTTAGTTCGAGACATATTAATAGGGTGTTTGACAGAGCTTATTTAAAATAACTCTTACTTATGGCGTATGTTTTTGTGTCGATGTAGGTTTAGGTTAATGTGTATATTTGTCAAATTTTGAATGATGAAATAAGGAGTTTTTGATAAGTAAGAGATAAATGACTTATCAAAAAATGATTTATTAGAAGTTCCAAACAACTATAAGCTGTTTTTTAAAAACTTTACCAAAACTCTCTTTTTGACTTATATCGAACCGGTAATAAGCCAAAAAGTTCATTTTTTAAGCTTTGTCAAACACCCTCTAGTCACGTATGAAACAACATAATTTTCGAACACGGTTATTACTCCTAAAGGGCCCTAAACAACATTTTTTTTATTTAATATTTCACAATAACACTTCATATTCTTATGAATATTTCTAAAATAAAAACATAAAAATCATTAATTAAATAAAGTAATATCGAATTATTTATCAATTTTAAACAGCAAACAATAAAAAAAACGCGGTATTCGTTGTCAGACTTCCTACTTTCTCAGAAACTTCTCCCATTTCTTGTTATTCCATAAATCCAACGATCAAACTTTGGATGCTCATCTGGCTTCTCTTCAGAGACCATAAATTCCCAAAATCCACTTCCAGCAACACGACAACTCCTACAATTCATATGACCCCACAATACCCATTCAGATTCCACCACAAACGTCTTTGATTGCAGTTTTCTAACACACCGGATTTCGTCTGCTGATACTGGTAATTGTTTCACTTTCTCTTTCTTATCTGAGTCAGTTTCGATCCATGTTGGTTAGGTTTACAAAGGAATTGAAATCTAGAAGCTTTCAGATTCTTCATGTATAGATCATACAAATCTTTACCAAGAAATTTGACTTTCTGGATCTGGTTAAATTACGTTTTGAAGATCTATTTTTCTTGTTAATTACTAGTAGAATTCTATCTTTGTAAATCTCAGATCAAGGGTTTCTAGGGTTTTATATACTTCGATCTGTAATTATATGTTTGAATTAACAAACCCAAATTTTTTCTACTCCGTGGTTGCTGATCTTGATTGCGATTGATAACAGAGCTTGATTCTGATTTCTGAAAGTGAGATATGGATGAAGATAGAGAGTCAACAAGATACTGGTGTCATCAATGTAATAGGCCCGTAGTCCCGATCATTGAAGTGCTAACAATCAAGTGTTCGAGTTGTAATGGTGAATTCATGGAGGAAATGGATAGTGTAACAAGCGACCACCACCACCACCACCACCACCGTGAAGATGTTCCTGACCGTGGTCAGTCGTTATGGGCTCCAGTCTTTCTCGGCATGATGAACAATCCTCGCCGTCGCCGGAGATTTTCCCACATCGACTTTGATGATGATAACGAGGAAGAAGACCGCCACCGGAGCTACAACTTCCGGGAGGGAGGAGACTCTGATTTGGACCGTGAGTTTGAGTCCATCATGAGAAGGCGGGGCCGGAGCTCCGCCGCCATCCTCCACCTCCTCCAAGGTGTTCGATCTGGATCTGAAAACAATACATCACAAGAACGTGATCATGATCGGGAACGTGTTATTCTGATTAATCCTTTTAATCAGACAATAGTTGTTCAAGGCAGCGGTGGTGGGACCCATCCAATTGGTTCTTTAGGTGACTATTTTTCGGGTCCCGGATTAGACGAATTACTGCAACATTTATCTGAAATTGACCCGAATAGACACGGTACCCGACCCGCACAAAAACAGGCGGTGGAAGCAATGCCAACTGTAAAAATCGATGAAAATTCAGTTCAATGTTCGGTTTGTTTGGATGATTTTGAAGTTGGAAATGAAGCTAAAGAGATGCCATGTAAACATAAGTTTCATAGCAAATGTATTCTGCCATGGTTAGAGCTTCATAGCTCGTGTCCGGTTTGCAGGTTTGAGTTACCTTCTGATGAAACAAGACCCGGCCAAGAGGCAAACGGGTCGGGTGATAGTGAAGATGGGGATGAGAGAAATTTGAGGCGTTTGTCTCTTCCTTGGCCTTTTAGTACTTTATTCGGGCCAACAACTGGGACCCAACCCGGCTCGATGTCATCTGCATCGAGTTCGGGTTCGTCACCATGGGCTCGTAGAGCCCATGGTGAGGATGAGGAACAGTAAGTTCTCATTCTGTTAGAGAGTTGTGTACAGAGATTGGTTGGGAAGTGTAATGTTGAAACTTATCGGCTTTTAAAAATGTATTTATACGTATCATATTAATGTTCTTGTGCCTTTCTAAATCGTATAATGACATATTTAGGCAACCAATTATGACCAATTTGCTATAAAGGTCATGGAAGTTGTTAGTGTTAAGTTATAGTCATGTTCTTTGGATCAATAAACCGTGATTTGTGTTCCTCATGCATATAATAATGATTGTCCAAGAAAGAAATTAAGAACAACAAATAATCTCCTCTCATAGTATGTGTTTGATCAATTTAATCATAAAACTAAATTAACAGCTAAATCATAACGATGTTCCAAAAAAAATAATGTATGATTATGGAAAATCAATCATATCTTAAATTTAAAGGGATTTGTATTTAAAGCTAGACACCTCTTCGGTTATTACATCTATTATAAAACATATATTCACTATTATCATCATTGAAAGTTACATGCTATGGGCGGGCAACTACTAGAAACGAGAAGTTGCCACGACAATTAAAGGAGATTTCTTGTGCACAACAAGGCCATACTTCTCACTCATGTCCAAATCCTTGCCTTTGACCCTATTTGGTAATGCCAAATCGAACTTGTATATCACATTTGCTAATGCTAATTCAATGATGACTATAGCGAATTGAATTCCAGGGCACCCTCTTCGACCACCACCAAATGGAAGCAGTTCAAAGTGAAGCCCTTTGTAATCTGTGGAAGTGTTCAAGAACCTTTCAGGCCTAAATTCCTCTGGTTCTTCCCATAAGGTAGGATCTCTTCCTATGGCCCAAGCATTCACACTCACTTGTGTGCCAGCTGGAATGTCATACCCCATTAGTTTCACATCTTGTGTTGATTCTCGAGGAATAAGTAGTGGAACTGGAGTATGCAAACGTAAGGTCTCCTTGATGATGGCTTTAAGATAATACATTTTCTCTAAGTCCTTCTCCACAATCATTGATCTCCCTTGTGCTATTTCTGTTACTTCTTGTTGTACTTTTTCCATTACGCTTGGGTGTCTTATTAGCTCACTGATTGACCATACCAAACTTGCGAATATAGTATCTGTTCCAGCAGTAAAAACATCCTACAACAAACATAAGTTTTAATGCATGGTGTTCCATTACTCTTGGGTGTCTTATTAGTTCTTATTGTTCCTTTAGCATCGTCATTATTGCGTGTTTATTAAAGTCATTATTCCTAACAATCCCTTCCCTGGTCGAAGTCGGGTGGTAACCCTAATATTTTAATAACATTTATTATAATAATCTAATCTTAAAACAGTAAAAAATAATTATGATATCTAACATAAGACATGCCACCTCATTTGAATCAGTTAGACATCTCTCATAATTGTTATGATAGTTCTAGTTGTCTTGCATAGATGAACCACAAGAAAATAACATCGGTGGGACCAATGTTCTAAATAACGTTAGGTGTAACTTAACAACAATGTTAAGCCTCTAGTTTTTACGAGTCGTGGCGAGCCGTGTCATTTGTAAGACGGAATTTTGTTAAAGCATTGTGCCAAGTACAAGCCTGGAGCCATGACGAGTTGTTTAGAACCTTGAGTAGGAATATCCGAATGAAAAATCCAAATAGAAACAAAATCTACATATTATACTAATTAAACCACATTATCGATTTTGAAATTTACTCTTGTTTCAAATATAACTTGTGCATAGTAACATGGTAGTATCTATGAATTTTGTAGTTTAGTTTAGTAGTTCTAAATTTTCACCACGTGAGCGGTTTTGTAGCTAAAGTTGTTCTAATTTTAATCTTACATTATTTAACTTCCCTCTTTTAATTCTAACTAGAAAATTTCGTATCCCTGCGTGGCCTTAATTTTAACTAGAAATTACTATCCCGCGAACTTGGATCGAGTGAGGACTCAAAAGTAGATGGGGACTGACAGGACAAATCTTTGCCGGATGATTGAAAAAAATAAAAGGTGGAGATTTGCTTTTATTTATTGTCAATATCTCGCGAGATGATAAGACATTTTTGTAGTTATGTGCGAGATTTTGATATTTTCCAGCAAAGGTTAATTGTTTAAATGTTAAATGCATAAAACGAAAAAGGAAAAAGAATATATATATATATATATATATATATATATATATCTTCGTCAACTCCAGCCCTGCCCCACCCATCACCCGCCCCCACTTATTTTTTCTCTCTATAATTTTTTTAACAAAAATAATAGTTTCAAATAGAGCGTGTGAGTCACACTAGTTTGCTGCAAAAATTCGACAAAATTTACTTTGTGAGTAAATTTATTCATTAATATTGGTCATGTAAATAAGAATTACCATCCTTAATTATTTTTTTGGGATACATAATATTTCACTATAAAATAACATTTAGCATGGTCCAAGTCACTACCATTAATGATTAGGTGTCTAAGACCACTCGTTACGGGCAATGCCGAAGGGCGGTATTCCGACGTAACCAACGAATAACGCCGTTATAACGCGCGAACCCTCCCCCCCTCCCCGGTGGCATTATTTGGTGGTACGACATTAGCCATGTTTGTGGTAACGGGAGGGAACGACTCCAATTTCGGTTGAATTTTTCAAACGGTCAAATTTTAGACTGTTTAAAAACAGTCACAAACCCATATATATATATATATATATATATATATATATATATATATATATATATATATATATATAGACACACACACCTCAATAATACACATTTTATCTCATTTTTACCTACAAAATTCATCAATTTCTCTCAATTACATATTTCTTTCAATTTCCCTATCTTTTCTAATTTTCTTTTTATAAAAAATGAACTATTTGATCCGTTCCATCCATACAATGATGATAACAACGACAATGATATATTCGTGAGTATGATGTACTGATATTCTACGAACATGTTACCGCCAGAGCCAGCTCCACTACGACAAGGCGTGCGATGTCAAACAGAGATCGTGAAGAAGGGCATAGACGTCTAGTACACTGCACCCTGTTTCGAGTCGTTTCATAATGCGGGGTCGTGACCCGAAGATCAAGTATCATAAGGCTTCAGGTTTTGGGAAAGAGAGGTTTAGAGCCATTCGTATGTGGGTAATGTAGATTATATGATCCAAGAGTTCGGTTTGTGCTTTGGAGTCAAAGGGTAAAATGGGAAAAGTAGTGTTTCAGACTTCTTTTATGAATTATGGATTTTAGTTTCAATGTGTTTTAAGTCAAAAGTAATTAGATAGGGTTGTAAAGCTCTTCAATACCTTTCCATGGATATAAAGATCATTGAAATCGGAGTTGAAACGAAGAAGTTATGACCGTTTGAAATTTGGGTGGTTTTGGGTTGAGCTGCGTATGCTGGGCGTACTAGGGCATCCATGAGTACGCTGGGCTTACGCGATCAGTGCCCAAATCCCTATTTTCGTGATTTGAGCCATATTAAGGCATCCGCGTACGCTGGGCGTACTAGGGCATCCATCAGCCTCCACCTCTCCAACACCCTCCCATGAAACCCTAACCCTAGTTTGAGCCTTGTGAGCTAAAAGAAGGTGTTTTTGAGTGCTTTGGAGTGTGCATAGCGCACCTTGGAGAAGAAGGAACTCCTTGGAGAAGTGTTGGTTGCATTGGAGCTTATAGATCCAAAACCTTGTTCACCCTGATCTCTCTTCTAGAGGTTTAATTTTAAATCTTGATGATGCATTTATTAGATCTAGCTAGTTTTGGATGTCATGAGCTTTTGGTTATTTTAGTGCATAAAGTTTAGAAACTTGATCCATCTAAACATCATTGTGATTCAGATCTGAAGGTTGGAGACTTGGACTTAATGGATTAAGTTGAAAAAATGCACTTTTGGTCCCTTTGATACTTAAAGGCTAGATCTTGGTGGTTTGGACCATTCTAATGGATAAAGTTGGAAAATTTATCTATTATGGAGCTATTAGGAGCCATAAAAATGCGATCTTGGTCCTTCTATTTCTTCCATGCAAGTGTCATGATGTCTTTATGGATTTATAAGTTAAGGTTTTGGCTTTTGGACTTTTTCTAAACATGGAAAGTCATGAAGGTGGAAACTTTATGAATTAGAATGATGTTGTGGGACTAGATATGAGTGTTGGATGAAAGGGCTTAAGAGATTAAGCACTTAATGGAAAAGTGCCATTTTGCCGAGTACGTTGGGCGTACCTTTGAGTACGCTGTACATACTCGTATGGGGTCGCGTTTCTGGATGGTGAGTACGCCATGCATAAGAGTTGAGTACGTTGCACGTACTTAACCTGAAGTTTGACTTGTTGACTTTGACTTCCATTGACCGTTGACTTTTTGACCAACTTTGACCTTGGGTCAAACTTGAGGGTTTTGGGCTATTAATTAAGATTTTATCTGGTTCTGATGTTAGTGGATTTGCGGGTGCAAGCAGTGCAAAAAAGGGATCGTATCGTAGTGTTTCAGAGTTCTTCGATTCAGGCGAGTTTTCTCACTGTGCTTGTGGGTCGAAGGCACCAATGCCGGCCCACTAACTTGTGTATGTAGGATGTTTGCTGTCTTTGTGACTCTTGCATGATTGTCTGTGTATATACATGCTGACCAACTGGGTCTTATTATTTGTTGTTATATGTAAAACTGTGTATGTTGAGACTTTGAGTACTCTCCAAGGTTGCTGATAACCCATAGGGTGTGCTGTTTGTCCACTGAGACTTCGGGTAGTCTCCAGGGTTGCTGATAACCCACGGGGAGTGTTGTTTGCCCACTGATACTTAAAGTAGTCTCCAGGGTTGCTGATAACTCATAGTTGTTTATTTGTGCTGTGTTGTGTGTGGTATTTTGGGGAACTCACTAAGCTTTGTGCTTATGATTTGTGGTTTACATGTTTCAGGTTTTCTTATATTAGAGGAGGGGCACAACTCGTTTGCATCGAATCAGTGGGGGATTTGTGTACATGATAGCTTTTAATGATACTCTGATAAATGTTAAGATATTGTAGTTGTGATTTGAATAAACACTTGATGTTTTAATTGAAAATTTTGGGTTGAAATTTGGGGCGTTACATATACGATTATTTTGCGGATAATTGTGTCTACTAACCTAGCGATTTCAAAAGAAGGTTTCGTTTGCGAAAAAATATGTTTCAACGGATAGCCAATGCATTGGAAAGCATGTATCGTAAATACACTTTTTAGATAATTGTTTTTTTAGATAACATAAAGACAAAATTGCAAAAATGGTCCCTGTGGTATGCATTTTTTTGGGGTTTTAGTCCAAACCACGACTTTTTTGGATTAGTGGTCCTTTTGAGCTAGTTTAGTTGCGGATTTGGTCCCTCCGAAAATTGAAATGACTATAATACGCTTGGGGTATTTATTTTTCATTTTTCTTTCATTTTTTTTAAATTTAATATTAATTTATTTATTTTAAAAATTAAAAAAATAATAGAGAACCTCTCTCTCTCTCTCTCTCTCTCGTTTTCTTTTTCCTTAGAAATACCTGCAATCTCTAAAATTAAAATACATACACACGTTAATCTCACCATCACATACCAACACCACCATAACCTTCGTCACGATCAAATTTGACCACCACCAATCCGACATCATCACAATAACTTGTTTTTCGGTGGATCAACAAATCATCCTTACCGATACTCACTCACATACATACATGAAAACCTTACATTTCAATTTAACCACAAATCAAAACCAAATCCTACAAAAAAAAGATCAATTTTGCATCTGGGTGGGTGGCGGAGGAAACGAGTTACTTCCTTCCTGAATCTGGGACATTTGATTTACCTGAAACATCTTGGTTAAATCCCCCCAACTGGGTTCTCCTTCCTGAGAGCTCCGGCGACCGGCGATATTGATCTTCTCCAGCAAGACGTCGTTGTCGGTGGTACATAGAGAATAGAGAAATATGATGTGTAAAGGGTATCGGGGTTTTGCAATGGTAGAGAGTAAAAATAGGTCGAGTAAAGAGTGGAGGTGGGAGCATTTTCCGGCGAGAGGAAAGGGTGAAGAGGCAATCTGTCAGCAGGGAGTAGATCCAACGACGATCTGATAGTAGAGTGCAGGTTTAGTTGTGGTGGACTGAGGTCCGGTGGATTTTCTACCGGAGGCAACGAAACAGGAAGATGTGGGTTATTTGGATTTCTGATCGGGTTTTGGTCGATGATTTGTGGTGGCTGGAAGGAGGGACGGTGGTGACTGGTGAGGAGCTGATATAAATTGGGTTTTGAAGAAGTGGTGTTGAAGAAGATGATACCATCTTGATTCCTGGAGAGAGTGAGTGAGAGAGAGAGAGATGTGGGCCCAAAATTAATTAATTATTTTTTTCATTTAAATTAAATAGAAAAAAACATAAAAAATAAATCAGAAGGGCATTATAGTCATTTCAGTTTACCGAGGGACCAAATCCGCAACGAAACTAGCTCAAAAGGACCACTAATCCAAAAAAGTCGGGGTTTGGACTAAAACCCCCAAAAAATGGATACCACAGGGACCATTTTTGCAATTTTGTCTAACATAAATATACTTTTTAGATAATTGTTTTTTAGATAACATAAGTACGCATTTTTTACAAATTAAATATATGTTTAGATATGAATTTTTCCAAATGAGGTATGATGCGAGAGGTAAAAAAGGTTTTATAGGGTTGCAAAAATGTGCTGCTGCAATCAAGCTTATGACTATGGGGTAGTCGCCCGATTCCATTGATGACTATATGAGAATGTCGGAGCGAACTGCACGAGAAATTTTGTATAGATTGGTGAGAGGTGTTATCGAAACCTTCGGTGACAAATACTTGTGCAAACCTTCATTGAATGACATGCAACAACTATATGCACCACATGAAGAACGACATGGTTTTCCGGGTATGCTTGGAAGCATTGATTGCACAAAGTGGATATGGAGAAATTGTCCTGTGGCGTGGAAAGGTCAATACATAAGTGGTCATCTTGGAGCGCCTTCGTTGGTATTAGAGGTTGTTGCTTCACAAGACTTATGGATTTGGCATGCTTTTCTCGGACTTGCGGGTTCTAACAACGACATAAAGGTTCTTGATCAATCACCACTTTTTTCAGGACCTTTTGACAGGAAAGGCACCAAATGTTCCTTTCACAGTGAATGACCATGAGTATAAGTTTGAGTATTACCTCACGAATGGAATATATCCACCAATTCCACGTTTGTGAAGGAGTTTCGACACCCAATAGAACCAAGAGACAAATTTTTCAAGAGAAGACAAAAAGGAGCACGTAAGGAAGTGGATCGTGTTTTCAGAGTTCTGAAAACAAAATGGAACATAGTTGAACATACGACACAACCATATCAATTGGACACTCTACGCGATATTATGTATGCATGTATCAGAATGCATAACATGGTGATTGAAAAATAAAAGAAGAAACATTGCGGAGTATTCACCTACGGAACCTGGACACATTCAATTTCAACAAGGGACATCTGAATACTTACATAGAGTCGTTGGCATTCAAGACCAACGAAAACACAAACAAATTTGAGAAGATTTGATAGACCATATCTATGATGGTACCGAAGATGAATAAAATAGGGAAAAAAATGTAATTTTTCTCATATTTTATTGTTTTTTAGATTTTTAAATGTTTTTGTTCTTTGTTGTAATTTTTTTTAATGTTATTTTTAATTTAGGATTTATTAAAATTTTATTTTTAGTTTTTAAATATTATTTTTAATTTATGATTTAATTTATATGATACGTTTAAATATTATGACATAAATAAAAAAACAAATGGGAAAATAGAAATTAAAAACATCAAAAAAAAATAAAAATAATAATAAAGAAATAGAAAATAAAAGATGTTATCACATGTTATTTGGTGTTGCTCATTTCCACATTGAGTGTTATAACACCAAAAGTGTGACTAGTATGATGTGGTGGACAATTTGGGTTTGATAATATGTAATAACATGTTTAGATACACATGTGACCTTATCAGAAACAAATAGATCACAACTCTTTAATTCAAAATTAAAAATAAAACTCTTACCAAAATGAGGGCTTTGATGACATCTCTATGAAAGGTAAAGCCAGTTGCGTTATCTCTTTGTACATCCAATAAGGTGTCAACTAGATCTTGATCTTCACGACATTGAGCATCCATTTCTGTTCTCTTGTTTACATGTTCTTCAACAACACATTCAAGAAAGTCATCAAATTCTTTAGCAACTTTATGTGCTTTCTCCTCTAAACCACTCAATCGGTCTATCCAAGCCAACCATGGAATATAATCACCAACATTGAAACCACTGAGCAGATGCACAAACCTGTCCATTATGTCTGCAAACGTTGACCCACCATATTTCCTCCCTAGACTCGCCATGCAGACAATGTTATTCGTAAGCCAAAAAAACAACTCATTAAGATCAACTAAAGAACCACAACTGTTTTTGATCTTGTCAATCATAAGAGCCACCTCTTTTTTCCTCACTTGTTCAAATGACTGGACTCGTGTATTATTTAGAAGATGAACTACAGCGATGCTCTTCAGTTGCCTCCAATACTCTCCATAAGGAGAAAACGTTATGTCGTTGGAGCCATACAAAAGTATGTCGGGAATTCTTAACTTGGGTCGGCTTGCAAATTTCAAATCATGGGTTTTCAAGATCCCTTTGGCTGCTTCAGGTTAGGAGGCAACAAGCATGGGCACGTTGCCAAGGTGTATCAACATGAGTGGACCATGTTTTTTGGACAGGGCCTCAAGTGAGCGGTGGGGGCTCAACCCTAGTTGGTGGAGGTTTCCGATGATCGGAAGCCTTGGTGGAGATGGTGGTAAATTTTTATTGGTCTTGGAAAGAGTTGAAATCCATTTCAAACTGATGAGAATTATTAAAACGATGCATGAATAGTAGAAAAGAGGAGAATTCAGTAAGAAAGAAAACATTTCCCTTACCAAGAGATTTATGATGCCCAATAATATGGAATGGTTTATATAAAAAGCTAAAATCTCAGCACGCCAACAATTCTTTATTATTATTTCTTGGAGCTAAGCGGTTCGTTTGTGCGGTATGCATTATAATAGATAGATTAGTGTATGGATAAGGACTAATATGCCCGTTGTTTTTTTTTTTTTTTTTTTTTTTCTTTTTTTAGATGGCTTACAATGAAATTGAGTTGTTGTTCAAGAAACATTTTGATAATAGTTCTAGCCCGTTTACATGTTAAAGAAACATCATTACATTTATTTTTGTTGTTTAAAAAACACCGTTAAACTAACTTCAAGAAACTACCCTAATAGTCAACTTCGACAAACATCAATTTCTTGGTTATATTCTCCGGCCAACACAATTCCAAAGAAAAAAGAAGACACCATTTGATCCGGTCATTTTGTAAAAAATATTGCAAATCACACAGTCTCGTCTATCTTCTTTCTTGTGAATACGCCGCACCCATCTCTTTACGAATTGTCGGCCTCCCTTCCATTGATGCTCACACCTTTCCCCACTACTAGAAATAGAGGTATCAATGACAAAATCAGCAATGTAAGTTATCCCAAGCTAATAAATGGCAAACTTTCAAGGGGTCAACAACATAAAAAACCAGGATTTCTATTCGGTAAATTCTAGCCATTTAAAAATGGATTGGAGAGGGATTAGCGATGGATTCAACAAAAAAAACATCTCTCATTAAACGCGGATTTTCAATTTTTTTTTATTGTATTTATTGATTTTCAATTATCTCCTATTTTTCGCCCCCACCCGGAATCTCTATATTCTTAACTTAATTTCATTTGACACCCCCATCCTAACATCGAGTCCGGTCACCCCCAATCCTAACATGGTCGATTCTGGCAACCGCTACCCTGTTATCTCCGATTCCAGCCGCCTCCACACCTATCGTTGCAAATTCACGAATTTAGGTACACAACTTTTTTTCAATGACGTCAAGTATCAAGAATATTTAAGCTATATGTCACGAAGTCAAGATTGTAGTTTCTCTTTGAGGCGTCGACATCCACAGTTATGTTATTTGTTGGCCATCCCAACAACACATCATCAAAACTAAGACTTTCAGGTATCTGTCAGATGCTCTAACTTGAACGTTGTTTAAAAGGATTACATATTTTTCTATATTTTTTGTTGGTTTTGACCATGTTCGAAAGAAGTGAACTAAGTAGAGTTTGTATGTCTTTGAAGTTATCCAATTTTGGTTTTGACCATGCTCAATATTATAGGATCAGGGATCAAAAGTAAATGTTTGTTGATTGGAGTCTATCACCGGCGATGGAGATTGGTAGGGATGGGAAGGGGAAGGGAGCAAAGTGTTTTTAATTAAAATATTTTGAAAGAGAAACATGTGGTTAGAAAAGTATTATTGTATTTTTATATTGAGTTATTTGAGGATCACACACAACTTAATTTTTAAAAAACCTCAATTGGTTGTCATTAACTTGTGTACTTGGTAAGGCATAACGATATACAAGCCACAAGACTTAACTCGTGGCTAGGTAGAGGGTGCACCACGTTCGTGCACACCATCCTCGGTGCCACGACCGTGGTGGTTTGTGGAGAGTGAGACGATGAGAAACGCTCTAATGGGGGAAGAAGCTGTGATTACTAAGGGTTAAACGGCTACTTGTGGCATTTTCTTAAGAAAATCATATTTACTTAAACACACTCATCATCTCATCTATATATACCACTAAAATTTCACTCAAAGTCTTCATTATCTTTTATCTATTTTTAACACTATAAACATGGAATTTTTTGAAAAATATGTTTTTGTGATGACGGGGAGTTTTTCTCATCATTCGTTAATATTGTTACCAACACTGTTGATCAATATTTCATGTATGTTAAGCATACAAGAGCCATTGTCAACCAATATCGTCAAGCTTCATATGAACATTTGGTATGTGATTATTTTGCTGGGAATTGTATTTATAAGGAGGAAGCATTTGATCATCGTTTTGGTATAAATAAAGAGGTATTTTTACGCGTTAGTAACACTTTAGAGGCGCGGTATGATTTTTTAGCAGAACCGGACCTAGAGGTAGAATGGGCTTTACTTTTATACATAAAATGTATGACTGCACTTAGGTATCTAGGTTACGGTATTACCTATGACGCAACGGATGAGTTTTTAAAATATATGTGAGAACCGCACGAGAGTGTGTGAAGTATTTTTGTGCATATGTTATGGAGGTTTTCAGCAAAGAACACTTGCGTAAACCTACTAGACGTGATATTGAAAGATTGTATATTACTAGACGTGATATTGAAAGATTGTATATGGCTCAGGAACAAAGCATGGTCTACCAAGAATGGAATGATAAGTAATCTTGATTATAGGGATGAACATATGGACCGAGGAACCGGCCGGAACCGGTACCGGAACCGGAACCCAATGGAACCGGTCGGCCCGGGACCGGGACAATATTCTTGTGGATTTTTGGAACCGGAACCAATAGGAACCGGAACTGGTAGAACCGACAAAAAACCAGTAGAACCAGCAAAAACCAGAACCGTATGTTGCTATTTCTCGAGGACCTGTTCCAACATTGAAGGCACGACAAGAAGCGGTAGGAACCGGAACCGGTAGAACCGGCGGTCCGGTTCGGTTCCTATTTTCCACCAAGTTCAGTTCTCGGGCCGGTTCCAGCCGGTTCGGTTTCTTTGCTTATCCATACTTGATTGTATGCTTTGGGAGTGGGAAATTGTACAAATATATGACGAAGTAAATTTACCCAAGCTGAAGCTGATATAGGTGCACCATCTTTGATACTAGAAGTTGATGCATCTAATGATTGTGGATTTGACATGAGTTGTTAGGGGTAGTAGTATCCAACAATGACATAAACGTTCTTAGTAATTCCCCGATTTTCAACAATATACTGACCGGGTAAGCACCTAATATGTTTGTGATAGTGAATGGAAGAGAATACAAATATGGTTACTACCTTTTTGATATGATATACCCTAATTACGCTACTTTTGTGAATAAGTACCGGTTAGTACGAGATTAAAAAAATCACAAAAGGCAAGAATCTACGATGAAGGACATATTTAGGGAGGGAGTTTGGTGCATTAATTAAGAAGAAATGACATGTAGAGAAACACTGCACGACTATAGGATGACGATAAGATACACAACATAATATACACTTTTAACATATTATATAGTATGGCGGTTGAGCCAGTAGGACGTGCTATTTGCACGTATGATTTAAGGTTGATGTGGTTAATTAATCGTCCGCAATAATTCATTTCCATGTACAGATGATGAATACATGGCAAGAGCTCTCAAAATACAATCTATTGAAACGTGCCAAATTTTTGTACAAGACTTTACAGAGCATTTATACCAAAACAACGTCGTCGAGGACGAATAGTAATTTTATGTTTGAATTATGTCTTTTTTTGTAAGTTTTATTTTTATTTATGTAATTTTCATATTATTTGCATTTTAATTTTAAGTTTATATGTTAAATTATTAAAATTAAATATTATTAGGTTAGATAAAAAATGAGAAAATGTCATATTAGCCCAACAAATTTATAGCATTTGTTTTAAAAGGTCATTCTAAGTTTTTTTTTTTTTTTTTTTTTTTTTTTTTTTTTTTTTTTTTTTTGTATTTGTTTGTATTTTTTTTTAATTGAAAGAAATGAAGTATGAATTTACCTGCTAAAGTTGGGTTTAGTCGAGCCATGAAAGACAAGTCACTCAAATTTCAAGGGCCAAAAGTGTAACTTGGCATAATAATCAATTCAACTGTACCTGAATTGGGTGAAGGTGTTTAATGAAGTTGAAGAGTGGTTGAAGTCTTAAAGTCAAATAGCTAGTAGCAGTGTTGTACGTATTCATATCATTTGTTTGATAGAAATTTGTCTTTATCATTTATTTGACTTTGGCAGGTAAAACTCATATAAAATAAGTTTGAGAAAAAACACGAGATAGAAAACTGAAAGTAAGGAAGTTTATTTTGTGCAGAGCCTTTCGGTTGGCAGCTAAAAAAATATGAGTGATACCTTTGGGTGAGTGATCATGTTACAAGTGTAATTTAGCTTTGTATGATTGTAATTTTTTTGGTGATAATAAAATCTCTCGTTCGCCAGTAGATGTAGGTCAGGTTAGATCGAACCACTTTAAATATTGTGTACATTTTTGGTTTGTAGTTTTTTTTGTAGTTTTATTCCGTGAGTGTTACCGACATCATTTGTCGTTTTGTCTGAAGTCGCTTAACTTGTTTTGTTGAATACCCAAAAAAACCGGTATCAGAGCTATGGTTGAAGATGAGAAAGTTAAGATCGAAAAATTCGATGGTCAAGATTTCGTTTTCTGGAAACGCAAATCAAAGATTATCTCTACCATAAGAAGTTACATCTACCATTATCCGAAAGGAAACCAGAAGTGTTGGAACAAGACGAATACATGGCAAGAGCTCTCAAAATGCAATCTATTGAAACATGTCAATTTTTTTGGACAAGAGTTTACGGAACAATTATACCAAAACGAAGTCGTTGAGGATGAATAGTAATTTTATGTTTGAATTATGTCTGTTTTTGTAAGTTTTATTTTTATATTTGTAATTTTCATATTATTTGCATTTTAATTTTAAGTTTATATGTTAAATTATTAAAATTAAATATTATTTAGTTAGTTAAAAAATGAGAAAATGTCATATTAGCCCAACAATTTTATAGAATTTGTTTTAAAAGGTCATTCTAAGACTTTTTTTTTAATTGAAGGGAATGAAGTATGAAAAACAAGTTGGGTTTAGTAGAGCCAGCAATTTACCTGCTAAAGTTGGGTTTAGTAGAGCCATGAAAAACAAGTCACTTAAATTTCAATGGCCAAAAGTGTAACTTGGCATAATAATTAATTCAACTATACTTGAATTGGGTGAAGGTGTTTAATGAAGTTGAAAAGTGGTTGAAGTCTTAAAGTAAAATAGGTAGCAGCAGTGTTGTACGTAC